CCGGCAGGGAGCACTGCTGAGTGGTGGCGGGTGGGCAGTGGCGCCTCAGCCGGGCCTCAGCCGCACAGCTGTTCCCACCACGTGGGGCCAGGAGCAGCCTTGCAACAGGCAGAGGCCAGAGCCAGAGTGGTGGGGAGGGCAGCCCAGGGGGCAGTGGCTGGCTGTGACTTCGGCCTGTCAAGGGGACAGGCTCCTGAGCAAGGCTAACTTATGGTAAGGGAGCACCTTCAAGACCAGGACACTGGGTGCTGGAAAGAGCTCAGGATCCCTTCCCCCGGGCCTGAGGCCAGTAGTGTTTGTTGCAGACTGGAGAAGTGACCTCTGCTGAAGGCTGTTGCATGCCAGGCATGGCACTGGGCACTTTCCACGTGAACCAAGAAGCCACACCCAGGCCAGGCGTGGTGGCTCAAGCCTGTAATCCCAGCACTTTGGGAGGCCGAGGCAAGAGTATTGCCTGAGCCCAGGGGTTCAAGACCAGCCTGGGCAACTTGGTGAGACTTTGTCTCTACAATAAAATCACACACAAAACTAGCCGGGCATGATGGGCTGTAGTTCCAGCTACTTGGAAGGCTGAGGCGGAAGGATCACCTGAGCCCAGCAGATCGAGGCTGCGGTGCCATGAGCGTGCCACTGCACTCCAACCTGGGTGACAAGAGTGACACTCCAACTCAAAAAAAAAAAAAAGCCACACCTGGCACCTCCATGACCTCCCTCCCCCACTTGTGAAGTGGGGTGACAGCAGCTATGTCACTGACCGGTTGTGGGAGTTAAAGCTCTGAGCTTGGTGCCCTGCACACAAGTGCTCAATAAAGCTATTGTCTGCTGACACCCGCCTCCTGTATCATTTGACACCTGCAGCTGGGCCCCCCACCATGAGGACTCAGATGCTACTCGGTTTCCATGGCCTCCTAGTGAGTTGAACGTCATCTCATAGCCACGGCCTGTGCAATTCAGAAGCACGAAATTGCCCTGAATCCTCCAGACTAGAGGGCTTCGGGGAGACGGGTTGTCCCTGGTTCTCTGGGCCCCTTGAAACAAGGACAGTAGACAGCCCTTCCCTTTCAAAGAGCAGGACAGGCTGAGTGGAGGGTCCCAGCCGAAGACATCAGCCCATCCTTGGGTCAGTTTTGCCCCTCACTCCTCGCTCTCCTGGCTCCCTGGAAAAAGCCGGTGTGGACCACGAGTCAGTTAAGGAACTAAAGGCATGAAGAAAACTACAGCAGCAGCAGGAGGGACTCAGGTTAGACAGTAGGAATATCCTGCTCTGTGACTAGTGACAAAGGCCTCTCTCTGTACCTCCCCAAAAGAATAAAGCAGCATGTGGGTGTCGGGTGTCTGGGTTTAGGATGACTTCACCCCTATGGCCTCACTTCCTCTCCCTGCAGGACTTCTGCCCTCCTCTCGGGGCACAGGAGGCCGGGAAGCCAGGCCAAACACTCTGAACTCACAGGATGAATCCTTCCTGCTTCTATCCCCATGGCTCATGCTTCTCCCGCCCCCATCCCCCAGATATATTCCTAGAGAAAGAACAAGGCAGCCAGTGTCTGGCCCAGGGAGCGGAGTGCCCCTCCTCGGAGCCAGCGGCAGACTCGGCTCCACATTTGGCTCTTAATTATCTTTCCGGTGCTTGGTTATTAATGATCTTGGGCAGTGAGTGGAGCAGCCTGGACCTCACAGCTCCTCCCAGCCTCACCTGCTGCAGCCTTCCTCCCAGGGCTGCAGGCGGACCCTGACTCAGGAGGATGAGGGGATCAGGCCCAGGGACTGGTGGCCAGTGGCTGCAGCCAAGGTCAAGTTCCCTTCCAGGATGCTGGCCTCCAGCACTCCCCAGTACTCACGCTCCCCAACTGTTGAGCCCCCTGTCCTGGGCCCAGATCCAGCCCATGAGAATCCATAGGGCAGAGAATGTGAAACTGACTGTAGTGGATGGAGCCGCCCATTATCAGAGTAGTTACTCTCCAACCAAAAATGGAGGGGCTGGGCATGGTGGCTCACGCCTAAAATCTCAGCACTTTGGGAGGTCGAGGTGAGAGGATTGCCTGAACCCATGAGTTCAAAACCAGCCTGGACAACTTGGTGAGACCTCATCTCTACAATATTTTTTTTTTTTTAATTTAATTAGCCAAGTATGGTGGCATGTGCCTGTAATTCCAGCTACTTGGAAGGCTGAGGCAGAAGGATCACCGGAGCCCAGCAGGTCGAGGCTGCAGTGGCCGAGAGACATGCCACTGCCCTCCAGCCTGGGTGACAGAGTGAGACGCCAACTCAAAAAAAAAATGGAGGTGTATCCCACCACCATTTCAGCTGCACTGCCCCCACAAGTCAAACAAAAAGGTCCATTTCTCACAGCCCAAGCCCAAGCAGTGGGGTCTTCACAGACTGAGGAGGGAACCTGGCTTCCTGGGAACCAGCAAGGAGCTGTGGGAAAGGGCACTGGACACAGACATCCAGCACTGTGCCTGTCCAAATTAGCATCCGCCCTGCCTCCACCCAACTTGTGGAGGACAGCCAGGCCTCGGCCTTTACAGCCCCAGCATTAGGAAAGATCTGACAGAATCGATAGTGCCCACAGTGTTTGTGTAATGAATAGAAGAATGAAAGCTTGCTTGCTTCTCAAGAGTCATTGTGGGGACAGATGTAATCGCAGATGTGAAAACTCTGGAAGTTATAAGCAAAAGCCATCTTTTCAGATGGCCCAGGGCCAATGATGTGTGATAAAAAAAAAAATTTAAAAGGGCTCAGAGCCTCAGAGGAAGGACAGAGGGTGAGACCACAGGAAGATTCTCCCACCACAGGAGTCCCGGCATCTGCAAGGCTGAACTGTGCCTGGCCCTGGAAGCCGCCTGTACCGGGATTCCAGAACCCAGCAAGCAGGTCTGAGCTTCAAACTTCAGCCAGGGGGAGAACCAGCCTGCCAGGGCTCAGGCAAGCCCAGGAGGCTTCCTGCAACAAACCTTTCTTTACCTTTCCCACCATGACACTGCCAGGCTCCCAGAGCAGACCCTGGCATGAGCCTCCATTTCCAAGGGGACTAAGGGATGAACTTCATCCATCACCACCAGAGCCCCTGTGCTGAGCACATCCGGCACCAGGGTGGGTGGGAGCTGGCACTGAACACCAAGTGGCTTCTGCTGCCCAGAGCCCTCACATCCTCACCACATCCCTCAAGGATACGCCTTCGCCAGAGGGAGCAGTCCAGTTCCAGGCAGACACCCCTGGGATACTCCCATGATGCTCCTAGGACCTACAGGCTGTGTTGTGCCCCCTCTGGGATACAAAAATGAAGCAGCCAGGACCAGTGGGTTGTAAAAGCTTGGTTTAATGTCCCAGTGCTCTGATGAGAAGAATCTCCAGCAGGGTGGAACAAGGGTCTGGGTGGCCCTGCCCCAAGCGCAAGTTCCAGTCTCCATGTCCACTCACCAAGCCCACAGCGGTCACGACCAGGAACCAGCGAATGCCAGGGCAGGGAGACCTCGTGAGTCCAACTCCCACTGCTCCCTGGCTGGGTGGGCAGAACTTTCACGACCAGGGGACAGTAGAAGCCCAGCCCACACCGGGGCCTGAGGCTGCTGCGGTCACTGAACTGTCCGTGGAGGACATCACCTGTCACTGGGGTCCCGTGGCCACGACTCCATGGCTGAGGCCAGAAGCGCGTGTCCCGCGTGTCCTCCAACCCCGACGGTGCCGACCAGGAGCCAGGGGCTGACGCTCACACTTCTGACTCCAAGCTGGAGATCCGCCTCCAGGCGCAGGGTCCCAGGAAGCCCTGCGACCCGCAGGCTACCCCGCTGGCCTCGCCCGGCGCCCCACTGTGCCTGCGGCCTGGGCCCGGCCCCAGAGTCCTGCCCCTGTGCCCGGGGGGTCCCCAGGCCCCGGCGCCCCCGGGGCCGT